CAGCCAGCAAAAGAAAAGAAAGATAAGGTACACAACAGAAACGGCTGACGTCTCTCAAACGACTAAAGATATCAGAATATGTTGGGAAGATGTGGAGCTTACCTCCAGAGAGATGTCGTCCCTGCTGGGTAAGTTCTGGCTAACAACTGCCAGAGAGGCCTGCTCAATGTCCCGGATACATTTGTTAATGTTATCAATTGATGAGTCACACTCCCGCTGGCCAGGGGCCTTGTCCCTGAAAAATGAAACAAGAAAAGAAAAAGAAATAAAAAGCAATGAAATCGCTTGAGATGAGCGATGACGGATAGCGAGAATTATACACAGGACGAGAGCAGAGACAGGTTTAGGTATTATAAACATCTTTTCTTTGGGATTTATCCTCTCAGTGCTGATTATGAAGGGTCTTGTCACTGAGCAGGGACATCAAGCTGGGCAGCCAAATTAGCTTTGAAGCCTCAGAGCGGCCTGTGGTTCCAGCCTAATGGGCAAAATGAATTTGTTAAACATCAATTTTTAAGCAAAGTGGGACAGCGAAGCAAACCAAAGCATGACCCCGTCATTCTGTTTAATGAGACGTTATGAAACTGACTTTTGCAGGATGGAGTCCACTGCCAGTTTTAGTCTTTGGCACCAAAGTGGATCACTGAATCCTAATAAAAGCCTGGGCCTCTGTACCAGCACTGAATTCGTAGTCTGCGATAAGAGCATGGGAGCTGAAAGAAGAGCTACACCGGCTGTGTGTGAATGTTAATGTGCAGATGTGCCGAGACAAGAGGGAACCTTAACATTCAGTGCAATTGATGCTGGGGATCAAACCCCTCATGGACATCCCTGCTGTTTTGAACAAGGACAGGGCAAAACTGTGCGAAAAAGGAGATTAAATGTGCAAATTGAAGAGGTTTAAAAAATACAATTTCCTCACAGGATGCAGCAAAAATTTGTGTGAGAAACAAAGTCAACTTCACAAAATCATAGTTTTGTCTGCACTTGTTGACCTTCATCATTTACAACAACTTGCACAATTAGAAATGAGCAAAGCAGAGTAAAAGTTAGTGTGTTTAATATCGTTAATTAAATCTGAGATGTGCCTCCCATTCTAACCTGATGGCTGTGATGAGACTCTTGATGGAGTCAGAGACCGTGCGAGAGTGACCAGCCAGAACGGACCACGTTGGCGGGTCCTTGGGGTTGATGACCAACAAGCGTGCAGTTCGAAGCAGATGGATAGAGCTGTCAAGCATAGACCGTGCTGATTGGAGGATGGGTTCCTGTGCTGCAGAGCCCTGAAAAAAATCAACACCAGGTAGCTTGTGAGCATATATTTATTACATTTCAAGGTTATTACATGTAGGTGATTAAATACATTTCTGAGGTATAATAATTCACTTGAATTACATTCAATTAAAAATACTTTATTAATCCCAAAGGGAAATTAAGTGTTGTCATAGCTCATCATCCTGTTTTCATTCAAGAGTTGTTATAGATTCTGATAGCTGTGGGCAGGAAGGATCTCCTGCAGCGAAGCCGAAGAATCTGACCACAGATACCGATCTGTCCATCCGGATCTAGCTTGCTGTCAGATCTGGCGGGCCTCTCGGTTCTCCCGCTGTTACGAGCCGAGTTTCCCACCAGCTCCAGGAACTCGGCAGTCAGGTACTCGAGCACCGCCACCAGGTTGACGGGAATTCATCCACGGCATCTCCTTTTCAACACATTTGAGATGTGGGGCTGTAGTTGAGGTATTTTGAGCGTCTGATATGTTAATCAGCTGCTCCTGGTTGTTAAAAAAACACCTTGTTGTCATGGTTACGGATCATAATAAATGTAATAAAAGTAAAAAGTTTTCAGCAAAAATCCTTCCAGCTGCGCAACATCCAATACCAGATAAATAATCATCTGAAAAAGCAATTTACATCCAGAAAAAAAGAGGAATTAAAGTTTTCAAAAGCAATAAATCAGAATGAATGTAACAGAGCTACTCCAACATGCAGCCACCCCCATGGGCGCAATTCTAAAACCATAATATCATACGTTAACGCCACACCTCATTGCTGATTTGAGCTGGGATACTGGCAAATTCAGGGTTTGAAGCAAATGTAGTGAGGTTTTCCACCGCCTCGATCAGTGGACCCGTGGCAACTCGACATCTGTTTCGGTTCTCCTCTGAGAAATCTCCATCTAAAGCCTGGAGAGCCACAAAGAAAGAACATCACAAACAATTAAATTATTAAAGCTGTGTTGCTGTGGTACTTCAAACGTAGTCAGGAATAAAATAAACTGCTAAGAAATATTTGAGCTAAATGTTTTTCAAGAGCTAATGTGACTTACAAATAGAGCATTTACTAAAACAAATCAAAGGCTTGTGCTGTTTAAACAAAACTCTTGTCAGACTGAAATCCTACCTTGATGGTTTTGACCAGGTTAGCTGTGGTATTAGCAACCTCCTTGGCCGACTGAACAAAGTGCCTTTTAGCAACAGGATTAGTTGTTTTGGAGGAGGCGAGACGGCAGGCATTGCACAATGCCGAGGTGTGCTTAGCAACAATTGTGGCTGCTGAGAGCACCTGTCACGTTATAAACAATAAAACAAAGAATGAGAATGAGATATTTGACCTCATTAATTTGGTAATGCAACAATCATGTGCTTAATACCTTTGTAGAAATCATGACTTTATAGAAATGACAGAATTGAGAGTCTTAAAAGTGCACTTTTAGCATGTTTATTTGCTTAACAGTAGAGTTTAGACAAAACTTGAGTTAAAAAAAAAATGAAATCACAGTAAAAGTCAAATCTAGGTTTCACTGCAAACAGAATTTGTGAAAATGTGCTGCATGTTTTTGGAAGTATTTCTAGTTCGATATTAACTGTGATGTGGTGTAAGCAACTGATTGTGGTATAGAAACTGAGTTTATAGAGGCATATACAGTAAATGATCCAAATGATGCTTGTTTCCCATAAAACTGTCAGGAAAATTACAGCTGACAGTGATGTTAATCTAAATGTCAGACTTCAATGAACGGTGAGGGACTCTGCATACACACCAGTTAAATGTTTGGACAATTAAACTACAACTTTGCCCATTTCCGTTATCCGTTTGTATGAAACCGTACCCATAATTTATTTTTTTCTTTTTATTTTACCTTTATTTTTCCAGGTGAAATGTTTGCAAACTAGTTCTCATTTACAAACATGACCAGGTAATAATCAGAAGTCGTTTCATCATAAGGACAGAAGAATCTGTGATGCATTTATTATGTTGTAAATCTTTTCTTTTCAATATGGGGCTATAATATAAGGCTATTTGGGTGATGTGGTGTAAAAACAGAGAGATTGGTGAATGAATGCACCTGAGAGGGGCTGCTCTGTGGGTCCACAAGGTTCTGACAAGCCATCTGGATAGCCTGGTTGGCTTTGGCAAACTGGATGGGATCCACCAGCCCCTGGTGTCCCGCCTGACTGCTGGGATCAGACACACCCACCAGGTAGGAAGCCTGAGGAAACATCACACTGGTCAGCAGCTTGAATCACCATCACCAGCTCATGCACTGCGAGCGTTTCCTCCACCTGTCCTGCAGCTTCAGTGAGGCCACACAGAGCTTTAGAGGCTGAGCCCACACAGTCCCCAAACAAAGACACGTCTCCGGTCTTACAGTTCTGAGAAATGCCGGCCATGGACTCTCCGAGGACCTGGACAAAACGTCAGAAAGATGATCAAGTGGTTGGGTGGGCTCAGTTCTCTGATCATTCAGATGTTTGATCTGAAGGCCCACCTTTGAGTTCTCCATCACGCTCTCGATGCAGTCGAAGTAAGAGAGGTCATTGACCGGTTCGCTGGGGTTATCCAGCATTTTCCTGACAGCCTGAGTCAAAAACAAGTAAAGAGAGTTTTACAGAACATTTCAGGAATTCATTATTTTAGGACAATTATTTCTGGTTAATACTAGACCACAGCAGTATGTCAAATATTGAGAGAGAACATGGCAAATGATCCAAGAATAAAAAGAACTGACAGGAAGTTGTTCCCATCTGATCACGTGGTGAAAGCTTTGTTTACCTCCAGCTCTCTCAGGGCGTTGTCGCACTCTTTCTGGCCGGGCGCCTGCTGTGTACACAGTGTGATCAGCTGGTTGATGCTGTCCGTCACGGCCCTGAAACACACAGGAGCATCTTTAAAAGAATAGAAATTCAAAGTACTTTTTAATAAGATGACATTAATGTGTGTAAGAGCATGCACTCAAGACTGCACTGCACAAAACTACATCTTCAATGGTGCAATTTATCAGTCAGTGTTGGAAATTGTTTTGTTTCGATACGTCTGTTGAAAGTATCAAAGAATACTTTGTTTTTACTTTTTTTTACATAAAGTTCTGTCAGAATACACCTCAAACAGACTATGGGAGCAGATGCCTAAAAGCATTTGCATGAGAACATGAACGTCACACCAGATCACGCATGAACTAAGGGAAACTGTTCAACAGGTGCAAAAGTTTAGACTAATTGCATTCCAGCGTGATTCTCCATTCCATTAAAGAATATTTTTTAAACTTGAAATTCTCAAGCTGTGCATGTGCACGTATGTACCTTGCAGCAGCAGCTAGCAGGTTTTTGGCGTTCGCTGCTGCTGGGTCCACAGACAGACTTTTTGCAGCCAGCAGTAGTTTGCTGGAAGCCATGGAGATGTTCTTCAGGTTACCAATCACCTGCACCTGGTCATCCTTTTTCTGAAACCATCACGGCATCAAACTGTAAATTTGTGTTTCAAACAAAGTGTGACAATATTGTAGAAGTGGTTTAAAATGAAAACCAACCTGTGTGTGCCCAGCCATCTCTATGCCAGCATCCAGGAACTCATCAAAGTCGTGGCTGAACTTCCCAGAGGCCTCGGCCAGCTGGTTGCTGGAGCCTCTAGAGGCGTGGACCACCTCCCCTGCTGACTGGTTCAGGCCAGCAGCAGTTTGGGTCAGCTCATTCTGGGCTTCCTGAAATGTTTTGGAGGCTGTGGGGATCTGAAGAGTGCATGAAAAATGAACAATTTGTGGTGAAAGACAAACCAGGCAAGAGGCTATGGAGGACGGAATGTGACAAAATTAAATAAATAAATACACAGTCATGAAATGTATCATTTAATTATTAAATACATCATTAAATCATTAAATATACAATTAAATTACTTATTTCATGATTTATTTATTTATTAAATTTTGTCACATTCTGTCCTCCATAATAGGCACAAGCAACATGTTGCATTATTATTTGAATATCTAACAAAGCTGCTGAAACATGTCAAGACAGAGCCAGATCTGTGGAGACTCACAGTGTCTATCAGAAGTTTCTTGCTGGCCTCTCCGATGCTCCTTAGAGCCATGTCGACATCCTTCTGGCCAGGCAGACAGTTGACGCAGTTATTCAGGGAGTGAGAGACAGCTTTGGCCACCTGAAACACACAGTGGGGCCACAACACAGGGTTTACAGAGGTGAGCAGAGGTGACCCAGCTTGGCTAAATGTCTGTGCGTAATTTTCATGAGCAGGACAATTTAACAGGAAATGCAAAAGGAGATAGGAGCTTGTAAATTAGAATCAGCAACACATATTCTGCTCTACAATCTCATCACATCACCCTTGAGAAACTTCAATGAAGTCCAACTGAGCCTTCCATATATCCATGTTCATGTGAAAAAGGACAGCATTAAAACAGACAACACTCCCCTGATGAAACCCCAACGCTCTCACCTGTGCCAGCATCTGCTGACTCTCAGTGTCTCCCGGGGAAATCAGTGCCTGCTTGGCCTCATGAATTAGCAGCGCTGAGCCCTCCATAACGTCACGAGCTGAGTCTAGCATGGCAGCTGCAGCCTTGGGGTCTGTGGTGGAGGCAGCAACTCCCCGGGCTGCCTGGGCCAGTGTTTTCAGGGCCTGGGCTGTCTCTCTGGCAGCTATTCCTACAAACAGGAGCACATAAATGTGAGTTTCTCTAGAGAATCCATTCAGATCGAGGTGAATAAGGTAAAACTTTATGGTTCCCTGCATTGCAAGATGAAATCAATAATGTGCACTGACAACAGATTAAACAAAAATCGTCCACGTTTTTTGGGTTTATACATCAGATAGTCAAATTATTTCTGTTACATTTGGAAAACAATACACTTTCTAAAAACTTAAGGGTGCAAAAGTTCTTTAGAGTTGCACGATTTTACAGAAATCAGAACGTTAGCAGAACCAACCAGTGTAATGCTCATTTCCTTGGGCAGCACACGTAAGCAGCTGAGCCATGGAGGATCCCACAGACTTGGAGGTGCTGCCCAGATCCTGAGCACACTTCTCCAACTAAAGTGGAGAAAAACCACAACAGACACTTTATCATTCAAAAACTAACAGACTATCATTCAAAAACTAAACAACTGGCTGCAAAATAATCTATTTCAGTTCAAAGCTTTTGCACTTAGATTTAATTTCCACTGTATCCTCAAATTCAGTACTACAGTAATATGCTCACGATTAAAAAAAAGAAAATTTAAGGACATGTTTTTGGACTTCAGTGTCTCTTACCGATTCTCCAGGAAGAGGTTTGAGTTGAGCATTCGCCGCGGTCATCTTAGCATCCTGCAGTTCACTTCTCAGGGTCTGGATGGCTGTGAGCGCAGAGTCGATTTCCATGGGGCCACAAGCCTCATGAGCCTAAAGAGTAAGAGCCCACTGCCAGGATTAGTTCACATTTACAGTTAACACTTACCGTATTTTCCGGCGTACAAGTCGCATCTTTTTGCATAAATTGGCAAGTCATGCGACTTATACACCGAAGCGACTAATATATATTTTTCCATATTCATAATGCAATTTTTGACTGATGCTTTAAATTTTGATTCATAAACATTACCAGTGGCAGTCACTAAAGGGCCCTCTAGGCTTTTATATGTTTGTTCTAATTTTTGTGCGTCATGATTTTCACTACAAGGCTTGTTATAAATAACTGACAGAACTAAAACTTTTTGAAATAAACTAGCTGTAAACTTGCTGTCTTGTGTAAAATACAGTGTTTGTTTATGCATAAAAATGCAACGTGCAGTTGTTTTTTTGCGCTCTACCTTCTGAGCAGACGTCCTCAGCTCAGCCAGGCAGGTGGCCAAGTTTTTGGCACACTGACCCAGTTGCATGGCTGCGGCCTGGTCTGTCACTGTGGGGACGGACGACTTGGCAGAGGTCACCATCTTACTTCCAGGCTGCAGTGATATGGGGGGGGGTAACAAAACAAAACAAAAAATCCTTACATTGATTAAAATGTCTAAAAATATGTTTAGCCTAAAGAAAACTTTTATTTGGACAAAAATAATATAAAATCTGCAATGTTTTAAATGTACTACAAAGGTATGTTCTTTAAATTTCATCTGACTCCACAAAAAAAATGTTTTGGGCCTATTTAAACGAGTCCCCAATGACACAAACATTATTTATAATTTCAGCCTGGTTCCCAATGTAGGGCTGAAGTTACTTAGAGATTGAGAACAAGGTTCATCTAGTCTCTGTCCAAATAAAGTAAAAAAAAGTGCTGCACCTGCAGGAAGTTTTGGCTGGCAATGATGAGGGCCAGCTGTGCACTGAGGTCCTCTGGTTTGGCCTGGCTGCCTCGTACTCCTTGGACGAGCTGCGGGATGTGATCTGCTACAGCCTTTACACACATAAACACACACATTTACACACATAAAACACACACATTCAGAATGCCGAAGTTATTACAGTCACAGTGGAGACTTCCAAAATGAAAAGCCTCAGTGCTAAATCCTTCTGTTATTCAACTCTGCACACTCAAGCAGTTTCTGATGCACAGAGAAACCAAGCAGCTAATATAAGGTGAATGGAAATGGATAGTCAACTATTAGCTTGACAAAGAAAATGGTGGCAAACTACAACACATCAGAGAGAAACAGGGTCTCACGATCTTCAACCCTCACCTTACAGCTCTGCACCAGCTGCTGGTGAGCTGCTGTGTTCTTGTTGGACGCAGCAGCATTTTGAGCGGCGGCGATGGTCTGCGTGGCTGCGGCCGCCGCTTGCTTGGCAGCATTCTGAGGAGTCAAACAAACAGACATTTTTAACTGGTTCTGTAGACAATGCTGATTGAGTCAGAATGTAAACGTTCTATCATTAAACACAGGTTTAAAGTGCTTATAGTTAAGAGTCCTGGTATTTCCCAACATGGGGTTGTGCTATCTTGACTGATGCCAAGTCATCCATCACTTCTATCTTCCATGGTTGGATCAATATTAGGGATATTGGCATGTTTTCTGGGTGTGTATGTAGATTAGTGTATTTGACTGTAACCTCAGTGCTGTATTTTCTTTTTTATTTAAGTTTTGTTTTTTTTAACCCCTCCTGCTTGGTCCCCTGCCTGGCTGTATTCGATAGATTCAAACCAGTGACTCTGACCCTTTTAGAGGATGTGGTCGGCCATATTAAGCCATCACGTTCTCCTCGTGACCTTGTCCCCCCTCGTCTTTTAAAATAGTTGTTTTCCAGCGTCAGGCAGGTGATCCTTGCTGTTATCAATAACAGTCTGTCCTCAAGTGTTGTCCCAATAAGTTTTAAAGATGCGGTGGTGCAGCCCCTGCTTAAAAAGCCTAGCCTAGACCAAACTGTCTTGGTTAATTTTAGGCCCATCTCCAAGCTGCCTTTTATTTAAAAAATTTTAGAAAAAATTGTGAATTCACAAGTAAAATGTTTTTTAGATGAGCTCAATATTCTGGAGGTTTTTCAGTCTGGCTTCAAAACTCGCCACAGCACAGAATCAGCTCAGTGTTTTTAATGATATTCTTACGGCCAATGATTCTGGTGAACATGTGGTTAATGTCCTGCTCGACCTAACTGCCGCCTTTGATACTGTGTGGACCATAACATTTTAATATCACACTTCACAATATGTGTTCTTGATTTTATATGTACAGCACTTTGTTGCAGCTGTGGTTGTTTTAATGGGCTTTATAAATAAAGTATTATTATTATTATTATTATTATTATGAG